GTATGATTTCAATTCTTTTAAATTTACTGAGACCTATTTTATGGCCTAGCATGTGATCTACCCCAGAGAATGTTCCATGTGCACTTGAGAAGGATGTCTATTTTGCTGCTGTTGGGTGGAGTGCCTTGTAGATATTTGTCAAGTTTAGTTGGTTTATAGTGTTTTCTATTTTCTTGTTGATCTTCTGCCTAGTTTCTCTAGCTATTACTGAAATGGAGTTTTGAGGGTTCTGACTAATTGTAGTTAAATTGCCAGTTTCTTCCTTCAGTTCTCTCAGTTTTTATGTCATGTATCTTTAGGCTGTATTGCTAGGTACATATGTTTGTAATTGTCATATTTTCCTAATGGACTGATCCTTTTATCAATATAAAATGTCCTTGACATACAGGTGGCCAGACACATATGAAAAAATGTTAATCATCACTAATCATCAGAGAAATGCAAATCAAAATCACAACAAGATTTCATCTCATGCCAGTCAGAATAGCTATTATTAAAAAGTCAAAAAATAACACATGCTGAAGCGGCTGTGGAAAAAAAGAGAATGCTTATACACTGCTGGCAGGAATGTAAATTGGTTGAGCTACTGTGGAAAGAAGTTTGAGATTTCTCAAAGAATTTAAAACAGAGCAGCCAGGCACAGTGGCTCACGCCTGTAATCCCAGCACTTTGGGAGGCTGAGGCAGGCGGATCACCTGAGGTCAGGAGTTCAAGACCAGCCTAGCCAATATGGTGAAGCCGTCTCTGCTAAAAATACAAAAATTAGCTGGGTGTGGTGGCACACGCTTGTAGTCCCAGCTACTTGGGAGGCTGAGGCAGGAGAATCACTTAAACCCAAGAGGCGGAGGTTGCAGTGAGCACAGATCACGCCCACCGCACTCCAGCCTGGGTGACAGAGCGAGACTCCATCAAACAAACAAACAGAGCTACTATTCAACGTAGCCTCCCATTACTGGGTATATATCCAAAAGAAAACAATTCATTCTACCAGAAAGACACACGCACCTATATATTTATCACAGTGCTATTCACAATAGCAAAGACATGGAATCAACCTAGGTGCCCATCAGCAGTGGACTGGATAAAGAAAATGTAGTACATATACACCACGGAATACTATGCAGCCAGAAAAAAGAATGAAATCATGTTCTTTGCAGTAACATGGATGCAGGTGGAGGCCATTATCCTAAGTGAAGTAACACAGGAACAGAAAACGGGAGACCAAACATTAGATACACATGGACACAAAAACAGCAACAAGAGACACTAAAGACTACAAGAGGGAGACGGGAGGGAGGGGAGCAAGGATTGGAAAGCTAACTATTGGGTACTATGCTCACTACTTGGATAATGGGATCTGTTCCCCAACCTCAGGACCCATGTAACAAACATGCACATGTACCTCCAGAATCTAAAATAAAAGTTGGAACTATTAAAAAAAAGTCCTTCTTTGTCTGTAGAAACAATTTTTTTCTTAAAGCCTATGTTGTTTAATATTAGTATAGCCATTCCAGTTCTCTTTGAGTTACTGTTTGCAAAGTATATCTTTTTCCATCATTTTACTTTCAACCTATTTGTGTTTTTTAATCTAAAGTGTGTTTTGCCAGGTGCATTGACTGATGCCTGTAATCCCAGCTAGTCAGGGGAGACTGAGGCAGGAGGATTGCCTGAGGCCAGGAGTTCAAGATCAGCTTGGGAAACAAAGTACGACCCTATCTCTAAAAAAAAAAAAAAAAAAATTTTGTTTTGGAGAGATATTTGCACTCCCATGTTTCCTGCAGCCTTGTTTACAATAGCCAAGATTTGGAAGCAACGTAAGTGTCCATCAGCAGATGAATGGATAAAGAAAATATGTTGCGTACACACAATGGAGTACTGTTCAGCCATAAAGAGTGAGATCCTGTCATTTCCAACAACATGGATGGAACTGGAGATCATTATGTGAAGTGAAATTAGCCAGGCAAGTTTTGAAGAAAGCCAGGCCCTATCTCTAAAAAAATTGCCAAGTATGGTGGCAGGTGCCTATAGTTCCAGCTACTTGGGTGGCTGAGGTGGGAAGATTACTTGAAACCAGAAGTTTGAGGCTGCAGTGAGCTATCATTACACCACTAGACTCCAACCTAAGCAACAGAGCCAGATATGAAGTGTTTTTTGTAGATAGCATATAGTTGGATCATGATTTTTTTAAAAATCAATTTGCCAGTCTCTACCTTCTGATAGAGTACTTAATTCATTCGCATTTAATGAAATTACTGATAAGGCAGGATTTAGCTACCATTTTACTGTGGTTTCCTACGCCTCTTGCCTTTTTTTCTCCTCTATTTTTCATTACTTCCTTCTCTTTTCTGAAATATATATTTTCTAGTGTAACATTTCCGTTTCTTGTCATTTTTTACTATGTATTTAAAATTATTAGTGGCTGGTGTGTCTCAAGGTGGACTCTTTGAGTCTTTCCTACTTAGAATTTGTTGAGCTTCTTGGATTCACTTTAATGTTTTTCCTCAAAGTGGGAAAGGTTTTGGCCACTATTTCTTCCAATATATTTTTTATCCCCTTCCCTCTCTCTCACTTCTCCATTCTAGGACTTCTATTTTGTGTATGTTGGTATGTTTGATGGTGTCTGAAAGGTCTCAAGCACTGATCAATTTTCTTTGCTGTTTTTTTTTTTCTGTTCCTCAGACTGGATAATCTCAAATGGCTTCTAATTCACTGATTCCTTCTTTTACCAGTTCAAACCTATTTTTAAACTTCTCAAGTAAATTTTTCGTTTGTATTTTTGTACTTTGCAACTCCAAAATTTCTACTTGGTTCTATTTTATAAACTTCCTTCCCTTCCTTCCTTCCTTCCCTTCCTTCCTTCCTTCCCTTCCTTCCTTACTTTCTTTTTCTTTCTTTCTTTTTCTGGGTTGCTGGTAAAAGGATGAGTTAGACTCCCTTCTTCTCTTGCCATGTGATGCCTTGTGCCATGCTATGAGGCAGCAAGAAGGCCCTCACCAGATATGGCCCCTTGATATTGGACTTTTCATCCTCCAGAACCATGAGCCGAATACACTTCTCTGTAGCATTCTGTTACGGCAATACAAAATAGACTAAGATATGGAGGGATGCCTTGGGGAAAACACCTTTAAAATATTACTACACCTCTGTGCTATAAGAGAACTTAAGGTTAAGGAGAAGGACAGCAAGTGGGACCAGTCTTTAAGAGAAGTTCTCCAAGGGCTTTGGACCTGTCCACTCTCAGGCGCCTAAGTAGCTGCCTGCCTGGGTCCACGTCTGCTTGCCCCCTGCACCGTGCCCATGCGATCTCTTCTGAGTCCACTGGGAATGTGTCATGCTGCATTTGAAACCTGTTCGGAGCGGGGTGCCAGGGCTTCTGGGCCTCTGGCATGGAAACCTTTCCTGTGCCAGAGGTGTATTTAGGAAGTGGAAGCGGCCACAGAAGGCAGGCCACCCACACAAAGTAAAGATATTCAAAGCATTCAGCCTTATTGCACAAGAAGTTACATGTTAATAACAACGTGCACTAATGAAACTCTTTCTATCCACAAGACTAAGCACCTGAGGTGTGTGAGGTTTATAGGTATTTAAAAACCTGGCCTTGGTGAAATGCTTTGCAAGAACTCGATACACAAGACATGTAAGAAAAGATGGGCTGGGACTTTGGCAGCTGAAATAGTCTCAGTGCTTCACTGAGCAGCTCATCAGTTTTGAAGGACAATCTGTTGGCTTATCTATCGGGTAACATCCTGGGGTCAAGCAAATTACTGCCACATCTGGCCTGCTTTTATGTGGCCTATGAGCTAAGAACAGTTTTTGCATTTTTTAAGAGCTGGAGAAAAAAACAAAAAGTATGAAAAAAACAAACAAAGGCCCTATATGGTTTGCAAAGGCTAGCAGATTTATTAGCCGACCTTTTACAAAAGTCCGTCTACCCCTGAGTAACGGCATCATGGATTTGTATTTACTTTATTATTTATTTATTTTTGAGACAAGGTCTCGCTCTTTGCTCAGGCTGGAGTACAGTGGTGTGAACATGGTTCACAGCAGCCTCACACCTCAGTCTCAAGCGATCCTCCCACCTCAGCCTCCACCATGCGCCACCACGCCCAGCTAATTATATGGTGAATTTAAATGACCAGTGATATCCTAGGACAGTCAATACCTACAACAAGAACGAAAGGGCACAAAAACACTTGAAATATCATTACTTTACTTTAGTATTCCAGGCATTTTAAATATTCATACAATTGCCTGATTTCAGCAGTCATTTCCGCTCCAGTACAGATTTTGTGTCCAGGATCAGAGCCATGTATATCACTGAATTTTCTCTGTAGCACCCGCATGCTACATGGGACCCACTCCGGCGCCTGTGTCTTTGCTAGTAGAACCTCTCACCACGCCTGCAAGAGGGCTGGACCTCCCCTTGCTTGATGTAGCCTCCACTGTGAATGCAAACACACTTTGAAGCTTCAATCCCAGTACATTTCCAGCACTCCCAGGTGTTCCATGTATGTGGCAATCATCCCGCAGAGCTAGTGACACATCATGTCAGCTGGTACCTATGCCAGCACCTGCTCCACTACATCACACAGATGCTGAGGCACTTAAATGTTCTTGGTAAAATGGAGTTCATAATTGCCATAGGAGTTGAGTGTGGAGGAAGGGGACTTTCTCTCAATAATTAACACCCTTGGCCAGGTGTGGTGGCTCACGCCTGTAATCCCAGCACTCTGGGAGGCCGAGGCGGGTGGATCACGAGGTCAGGAGATCGAGACCATCCTGGCTAACACAGTGAAACCCCGTCTCTACTAAAAAATACAAAAAATTAGCCGGGCGTGGTGGTGGGTGCCTGTAGTTCCAGCTACTAGGGAGACTGAGGCAGGAGAATGGCGTGAACCCGGGAGGTGGAGCTTGCAGTGAGCCGAGATCGTGCCACTGCACTCCAGCCTGGGCGACAGAGTGAGACTCCATCTCAAAAAAAAAAAAATTAACACCCTTAATACACATTTAGCAGATTTATAATTTCATGTCTGTTTACATTTGTTGTCAAAGCTCCATAAACTATTTACGTAAATGAAAGCATGTTCGAGTTTCCAAATGCCGCTACGATAAGCAAACAGAGAAACTGCTTAGATAACACCTGCTTGCGTCATAAATACATGTGGCAACATCTGGTCATTCTTAAAGAAATGCTTGTGTTTCCAAAAAGAATTTTTTTTTTTAAGTCATAAGCCTTATGCAATTCTTCCAAGGTAATAATGTGTTTGTCCTTCCTTCTCAAGTGTGGTTCAACGCATCTCAAGGCATATTGCTGTCTGAGGTTCTGATTTCACTGGCCGGGCAGAGAGGGGAAGAGTGGGCACTAACATGTTTTAAAAGCTTCACAAGTCATTCGAGCATGTAGTCAGTGTTGAGAACCTTGGTACTAAAGGCTCTTGCATCTTCCTACTGTCACTTGTCCTCACCAAAAGCCCTTGAGGTAGTCCCTGGGTCAGGCAATGATCTCTTTCATGGGCTAAGAAACTAAGGCACAGAGAGGTTAACAGGCTCCTCTGATACTGTGCAGTCAAATGACAGAACCATGATTGCAACTGACATTTCCAAATAAACAATGACTCCTCCCCCAGCAACAGGCAGCACTTACATGGACCAAAAGTATGAAGCCTGACTGCGAGCCAGGCATGACCTTCTGTGTCAAGGACATCATGGAAGGGAAAGGAACAGTTCTGAACCAATCATTCCACATGAACAGAAATAAATACATAAAGCCAGGCTTGGTGGTGTGCACCTGTAGTCTCAGCTACCCAGGAGGCTGAGACAGGAGGATCACTCAAGCCCAGAAATTCGAGGCTGCAATGTGCTGACTGCAACTGCGAATAGCCACTGCGATCCAGCCTGCGCAACATAATGAGACCACGTCCTTGTAAAAAATAATAAAATTTAAAAAATTTTAAAAATATTTATAAACAAAATAAGTGCCTAAGATACTTATTGGAAGCCATATGAGGAATGAGGCATAACTTTTTCTTTTCTTAAAAGTCTTACTTCCCTCATATATATGCCATTGAATCAGGTTTCTCAGAAAATCCATCAAGATTCACAGACTTCCTGACATCTGAATTCTTAGCTCTGTTACTGTGAGGGCTAGAAAACTCGTGAATGTCTCTATAATTTGGGTCCAAAAGATAATTACAAACCTGTGTTAGCATGTGACAGCATTACAAAAACGCCCATGCTTTTCCTGTCACCCACCCACCTAGACTTGCCAGGGACCCAGAACCCTACACGTTCTAACTGGGTATACATCTTCCCACCATCCGATCAGATCTCATTGCCTTCTCTGAATTTCCCAAATACCAACCCGTCGGCTGCGTTGGGCCTCAAACATTAACAATTACAACTGACTGTTTTATTTTGCTCTACAGGCAAACTTTTAAATCTGTATTCTGGGTAATCCCGAGGACGTTTATTTTGTAATTTCAAATGTCCATGAGAGCCAATTCACCTGGGACCTTCTCTACTTCACCCCAAGGTAACACCCTCACATCCTATCAACTATTGCTGCACCTAAGAAATAATTTCTATCATTATTGCCTTTTTCATTGTAAGTTCTCACATCTCATCATGTTCAAGGAGGCAATGATTTTCTCCTCTTTTGTAAAAGTCTCACCTGACTGCAGAAATGTTTTCTTGAGCCAAGCAGAAACGAGGAATGGAGCACGCATAGCCATGAAGAAAGAACATAGCACGTTCTGGTGGGGAGGGCAGTTTTCAATGGGTTGCTGTGATTTCCAGGACACTCTAGGAAGGGCCTGTCTACTCAGCTTACACTGAACACAAATGACATCTTGTTCTCCCTACTGCTAGTGACGTGGCCTCCTGAAAAGCCTATAAAGTATTAGTTAATCCAGTAAGTGGAAGCCACTTCTAACAGTACCCATTTGTAGAGACTTACAAGACGCTGTGTGGAGCTGAAACCACTTCCTTCCCATTTTAGAAGACTTTCCCATTCAGGCAGGACATATACTCTCACATATACTCCCCTGATGCCTACAGGCACAGGAACTTACATCCCTCCTGGAAGGAAACCTGTCCCTCTAGCTACTGCAGAAAGTGCTTGGGGCATAAAAAGAACAAAAAGGGGGAAAGCAACCTTTGTCTGGGGCAGTGCCACTGGGGAGTGGAATTTTACTGACTCCTGATCCTCAGAGAGGTTTTTACAAAGGTTTTTTTAAAAAAAAAGGAACTAGGCAAAACTGCATTTAGAATTTTGGTCAAAAGAAAATTGAGAAAATTGAATCATCATATTTTCAAAGATCTACCATATTCAACCTATTAAGTAAAGCAATATATCATGTTTTTTTTCTCTCTCATGCTTATTTGATGCTTACAGGTTCAGGGCAGACTTGCCACTTTGTTTCTAAAACATGCAGAGAGCAGACTTAGGGCAGCATATGCTGTTCTGGGGCCCAACCCACACAAACCCTGACAGGTGACTGACCAAACGCCATCAGGAAGGTGATGCGGGAAACCACCTTCACCGAGAGGCCAGTGCACAAAACAAAACTAAGGACTGTTGGTGCATGCTTGTCCAGAGCTGAGTGGCAGAGCGTTACGGAAGGGATGGGCGGGGAACACACAGGCAACCTCCAATATGCTCTAACGTCCAATCCACAGTCCAGAGCAGTGGGGCTGCAGCCGGGCATGGAGCTAAGGCACTAGGGCTGCAGTGGGTGGGAGGCACCGACCAGAGGTCCCAGTGCCCTGCCATTCCCGGGGAGAGGGGAAGGAGCTCTGCTCACAAGGCTGCCTTTGTGTACCAAAGTTGTTTTCAAACGTCTCAACAGCATTGCTGAGTGCTCCGCCTGGGAAGCCCCCTGAGCAACCCTGTCTTCGGGAGCTGCATCCTCTGCTCACGTGCCTTCTTCCATCTCATCTTTGCGAGTGGCCTTTCTTTCCCCTGCTGTGGGCTGGATAAAGAGCAATCCAGTCATTTCACCGTTCCCTGGAGCAGGACCCCGTGCTTTTTCCAAGGCAGCAGGGAGCGCCCCTCCATCACAGCTTGGTGAAGGCAGCTGGCTGGGTCTGAGGTTGCTCCACATCTGGGGGTGGGAAGACACTGGAAATGGCTATGTCCACGATGCCCTGGCACAGTTCTGCATAGAGCTTCCTGAAATGTGTTTTAAAAAATATCATTGAGGATGTTCATCAAAGTGCAAGCAAAAAAAAATAAATGTTTTTTTGTTTTTGAGACAGGGTTTTACTCTGTCTCCCAAGTTGGCATGTGGTGGCGCAATCATGGTACATACACCACAGCCTCAAATTCCCAGGCTCAAGGGAGCCTCCCACCTTAGCCTTGCAAGTAGCTGGCACTACAGGTGTGCACCACTGTGCCCAGCTAATTTCAAAATTTTTTGTAGAGACAGGGTCTTGCTGTGTTGCCCAGGCTGCTCTTGAACTCCTGAGCTCAAGCAACCCTCTCACCTCGGCCTCCCAAAGTGCTGCGATTACAGGCGTGAGCCACCATGCCTGGCAGTTTTTCTTGTTTTTGTTTTTTACCAAAATCTGCCCTAGAAATTCTACTTTGTGACCACATTTCTTAAACTGGTTGCCACTCAGCGAGAGACAAAGGTCGAGTTACCCACAAAGGGAAGCCCATCAGACTAACAGGAGATCTCTCAGCAGAAACTCTGTAAGCCAGAAGAGAGTGGGGGCCAATATTCCACATTCTTAAAGAAAAGAATTTTCAACCCAGAATTTCATAGTCAGCCAAACTAAGCTTCATAAGTGAAGGAGAAATAAAATCCTTTACAGACAAGCAAATGCTGAGAGATTTTGTTACCACCAGGTCTGCCTTACAAGAGCTCCTGAAGGAAGCACTAAACATGGAAAGGAACAACCAGTACCAGCCACTGCAAAAACATGCCAAACTAATAAAGACCATCAATGCTAGGAAGAAACTGCATCAACTAACGAGCAAAATAACCAGCTAACATTACAATGATAGGATCAAATTCACACATAACAATATTAACCTTAAAATTAAATAGGCTAAATGCTCCAATTAAAAGACACAGACCGGCAAATTGGACAACGAGTCAAGACCCATCAGTTTGCTGCATTCATGAGACCCATCTCACATGCAGAGACACACATAGGCTCAAAATAAAGGGATGGAGGAAGATCTACCAAGCAAATGGAAAACAAAAAAAACAAGGGTTGCAATCCTAGTCTCTGATAAAACAGAGTTTAAACCATCAAGATCAAAAGGGACAAAGAAGCCCATTACATAACAGTAAAGTGATCAATTCAACAAGAAGAGCTAACTATCCTAAATATATATGCACCCAATACAGGAGCACCCAGATTCATAAAGTAAGTCCTTACAGACCCACAAACAGACTTAGACTCCTACACAATAATAATAGGAGATTCTGACACCCCACTGTTAACATTAGTTAGATCAACGAGACAGAAAGTTAACAAGGATATCCAGGAATTGAACTCAGCTCTGCACCAAGCAGACCTAATAGACATCTACAGAACTCTCCACCCCAAATTAACAGCATACACATTCTTCTCAGCACCACATTGCACTTATTCCAAAATTGACCACATAATTCTAAGTAAATTGACCACATAATTGGAAGTAAAGCACTCCTCAGCAAATGTAAAAGAACAGAAATTGGCCAGGCACAGTGGCTCACGCCTGTAATCCCAGCACTTTGGGAGGCCGAGGCAGATGGATCACGAGGTCAGGAGATTGAGACCATCCTGGCTAACACAGTGAAACCCCGTCTCTACTAAAAAAATAAAAAATTAGCCGGGTGTGGTG